ACCCGTACAAGACGGAAGATCAACCAGACTGTAGTCTTCGCCACTTTTCAGGACTGGTCAGAAAAAAGGATGTCTGAGTATCACAAAGATAAGTAAAACTTTATGTTACTTTGAAACTTTTAAGTTAATTTTTCATTGTTACTGCAAGTGGCAGAATTTAAGAAGTTTTACCTCATGTGAGGCCTACCTTTATCGCCAAAAAGGCGAGAAATGAGTTGTTACCTATTTTGGTATTATGTTTTTCAATTACTCGCGAGTAAAACTAAAATTATTGTATAATAGGAATGTGTAAATACTTGAATATTGTAAAAGCATTGATAATCTTTGAGAAAGGTACCTTAAGAAAATTGTAAAATTATTGTATAAAATTTTATTTAAAAGATTCTGGCAAGAAAGAAATTTTAGTCTGAAAGACTTTTGAAATGTAGTATTTCAATGTAGAAGAATTGGCACTTGCTTGGAAAAGAATAGAAGTTAACAAACAATGTACTACTAATGTATGTTTTTAAAATGCGTAAAATTAACGGCATGTTAATATGTCCTTATGTACAATGTGAACTGTTATCTTAAAGTTAAGAAATACTGTGATATGTTAAAAGTGAAAATATTAATGCCAAAATTTTAACTTATTTGTATGACTGTAAAAAGAGCAAATTATTGTGAATATGTGTTAAAGGTTGAATGAATGTAGTTAGGCTCTCTGACGCTACACTTCAGGGTTAGCCACTTTTCAGAATAGTACCTCAGGGTTCAGAGATGAATATAAGGTGTGTTCTGAAGTCTTGTTATGTTGAATTTTAACACTTTAGTGTTTTGATTGCAGGCGGTAGTGTTGAACACTTGTACATAGACACGCACGTGTTTGGTGTTTTTCTTTACAACACATGTCAGAGAGCACGAGGAGATAATTACATAACATCATGAATGAAATAAGAATTTTAAAACAGAAATATAAATATTCATGTTACTTGCCATTTGATTGTGTAACATTTCATTAAACTAGTTTTCCTTCCAGATCAGATTCAACAAAGAAACTCCTGTTTATAGATGCAGTACAGATGAAAATTATTTGTCGATGGAGTTGATAATGTAAAAACGACTTTTTAATTTCTAGATTAGATAATTTCTAGTGAGAAATGTTTGTAAAAGATTGGCCTCGCGTTATATTCTAGAGCTAAAAGTTTTCAACAAGGTCGTTTTAGACCTCAGTTTCAAACTAATTAACTCTGGCGGGAAGTATGTAAGGATCCTAAGTTTTACTAATGTTTATTTTATTTTAAATCTTTACTATCACTTCTTATTTTCTACTTCCGGCCAGAATTAAAAGCTTTAACTTATTTATGCAAATTTGTCTTGCTAACGCCAAGTACTTAAGTTGTGGTTTTTTTGCCAAGCAAGAAAGAGGAAGTAGTTATTAGAAGCAGGCCACTTGCCATTGTCATTTTACGAGTTTTCACTCGGTTGCTGGTTGCCTTCAAGGCCAGAGGTTTAGTCTTGATAATTGCAAAACGTATCGTAGTTTTAGCAGCTCGGCATACTACATACGGACTTTGTTAAATAACGGCCAATCTTAATGCTAAGCACTTGTATACTAATACAAAGTTAGTTTTAATTAGAGTTTTAGTTAGTAGTTTTTATATTCTTACGTTCAGACCACAAGTGGTTGGTTTCTGTATTCCGAAGTTCTGGAAATACCTGTAAAGATAGAAAAATAAAGTGTTTCATATACCCTTCCTGCTTGTATTGTCTACTTCACAATTTTCTTGAACATAGCTTGAGTAAGCTCCCTGTTCCGAGTCAGGACAATTCATGTTTCCAAAGCAAGTCAAGAGGAATACAAGTCCTGATAGTATCATAAGCTAAACTGCATCAGAAAAAGATCATGCTGTCAATTTGGTAGCACTGCAGAGGTGCTGTGTAATTTGAGCTGCTTCCAAGAAACCAAATAATCAAATCAGATGTTTACTGCCAACAACTTATGAAATTAAAAGAAGCAATCAAAGAGAAAAGCCAAGAACTGACAAATTGCAAAGGAATTGTGTTCCACCATGACAATGCAAGGCCATCAAATTACTGGAGCTCACTTGAGAATTGAAATCTCATTCCCAGTATAGCTCCAACCTTGCACTATTGGATTATGCTTTATTTCAACATTTACAGAATTTAAATGGTACAAATTTCAGTAATAACGATGACCTCAAATCTCACTCTGAGCTTTTTGCTGGTGGGAAAGATGGCAAAAGGTCACTGAACAGAATGAAAGATATTTGACTGATTAAAGTTAATTTTTTGTGTAGGAAAAATTGAGCTTTATTTCAGACTAAAAACCAAAATTACCTTATTGCCAACCCAATACTTTTCCATGTTCTTACCTAGTGGAAACAGGCTTTAATCAAATCGCTAATTTACTACAGAAAACAAGAAACAGATTAAATATTTTTGAATGAGGTGATTTAACAATTAAGTTAAATGATTTTATGCCAAATATTACACAAAAGGCATCAATATATCTAGTGCGATCATCTCACTGATCAAACTTTAACTTTTATGCAATCAGAATCTGTACTTTTATTTCTGAAAATTGGTTTATATTTGTAAAATTAAAAATAACAATAAAATAAGTTTAATGAACCCTTTTTTAAAAACTTTTGTTCACATTCTTAGTCTAATTGTTACCTTTAAGTTATTTATAAACAATTATTTGGATTACAATTATATTCTATGCTGTATATTATAAAGAAAAATGTAAGAAAATCTTTCTTTTCAATGCAAGAAAATGGTTGGGAATGGTTGTATTAAAGTCAAATTTCAATTAAAAAAAACTAATTTCTTCAAAAAGAATATCTGTTGTTTTGCATCATATTTTTATGTTTAGAAAAATGTCATTCGTTATTGTTGTTGCTTATCCTCAAAAGATCTGACATATGTCAGCTCCAGAAGGTTGTTAACAGGCAAAAAATCAATAACAGTGAAGGGATCGGATGCTAAGTCCTCTTTAGAAAGTCCGATGCAACTTAGTATGTGATCTAGCAAAGCTGGATGGTCACAGCATTGTTTACAAATGGTGTGGATTTTTCTGCCACTATCAAAGGAAAGACATTTAAGGTGGTCACTTGTTAGTCTAGCCAGAGCAGTCTGGGAACCACACTCACATTTGATGTCCAGCAGAGAGCAAGGGAATGTTCCTGTGTACCACTGGCGCATTGGTGGACTATGCCATATTAAATTCAGTTTAGATCTTTCATTTAAGTAAATTTGAATTCTTGGTAAGTAAATGAGGAGCCAGTGACCATTTCATTTTCACTACCCTCTTTTGCCAGTTTATCAGCCACCTCATTACTACTAATGTTAACATGTGAAGGGATCCACTGGAGGTGGATGTCGTGAGTCTGAAAGACCTTCCTCAGTTTGAGCAGAATAGATATGCTGGTTTCATTGTTTGCGGACGACCACCACCAAGATGTTGTAGTGCACTGCGGCTCTCTGATAAAATCCATAGTTCCCCAAAATCACAATCATAAGCCAAGATAGCATCAAGCCCCACATTAATCGCAATTAACTCGTTCCTGAAGACAGAGCAAGTGTCACGGTTGCATTGCTTTATTGCAGTTTCAAAGTGAGGGGTCTTAAGATACCACTGTCAATATGATCTTCTGTACAACTACCATCAGTATAGACCTGCACTGCATCTTTAGGAAATGCAACTAATAATTTCTAGAGCCAGTTGCCTAAGAAGGTCTTCATGGTGAGTTTGCTTGTTTGCAGTGGATTTCAGATCAAAGTGAAACAAAACTCTCGGTAGTCCCACTGAGGGATCAAAAAAGGATCTTAGAGATAGAAGTACAACCTCCCAAGAGATCAGGTTCTGAATTTATGTCAAGTTAAAAGGGCTGTATTTCTTGAGGATTTGATTGTTGTGCCAAGTGTGGAGATACAACGAAGTACAATGCTGGAGGCCGTAGCTGTATATTTTATTGAAATATTTAACTAAATTGTAAATGTCATTCGTAATCTCCATAAGCAAAGTTATTGATTCATTAAAAATCTCAAATAATTATGACAAAAATTAAAATAGGATAAGAATAGTAGGAAAATCTGAAATTTGCAGAGTTTTCTAAAAATTGGAAAATATTTGTTAGCTTCCAAATTTATGCCATGATAAAACTACTACCCTATTGATAATTTGATTTTAGAACAATGTAATCAGCAGATGAGTTGGATTCAAATGTCGTCTAATCACTCGCATTATTAGATGAAAGTGTATTTATTCACAGCCAGCCAAACATAACTTTTTAATTAGAAACATTAATTGTCATGGCAAAATATTTTCAGAGTTTTTAGCTTCCACTGACCTTTTTTCATATGCAAATTTTTATTTTCAATTTTTCATATTAAATATGTGAAAGAGCATATTTGATTAGCTTGTAACTAAATTTTGACTTCTAAGTGTCTGAAACCATTCAAACATCATCAAAGGTATCATGCTGAGCATGCAACATACTGCAATAAACAATAAACCTACAGAATATTTTAAACGGCTTTTGAAAATCCTAACATATAGAGGAAAAAATTTCAATATATATATATATATTCTGTAATGGCAAAGAATTAATATATATAAAATTAAAAAAAAAAAAAAAAAGACAACTCTGCAATATACTGAAGAAGTTCTATGTTCTGCAATACCAATACTCATTTACGATTTGAGTCTATGCAAAAATTAACATGCACTTCCAATTGATTAGTACAAATATTCAGCTTTGTCTTAAACACATCTTAAAATTATATTCAATGTATACTAAACAATTGTTTTCCAATAATATTCTTTATGGTTTATAATCAGCAAATGTTTTAATTCATATTCTATTCTATACACACCTTTGACAAAGAGCAAGAAAATATTTCAGTCTGAAGGAGATGACGAGTCAAAATGTTTGAGAACCACAGATTTAGATCATATATAAAAATCAGAATAATAAAAACAGCTCAAATAAATATACCATATTATTTTCATTTGGAGCCCACTTCCTAAAAATTTGAACTGATAATCCAGAATGCAACATTCCAGGAGTAGCAAACACCACCATTGGTCCGGGATTATCAATATATGCTCGATCAAAAGGCTAAACAAGACATATAAATTTTTATAATTCCTCAAAGAACAGAAAAATTAAGAATAATAAACAGATATATAAAAATTATTATTAATTTATGCCTTTACATATTTAAAATAAGTTCTAACTATAAGGTAACCAAAAATGTTCTTGCCGTTTCTGATATGACATTGGAAGAGTGAACCCCTACATAAAAATAATCAACGAACATGGGAACGATGTGGTTAGGATGGGAGTCCAAACATTGACTATTGCGTCAATTCAATAGACAATATTAATCAATGCGTAAAGCATTCCAACAGTAGGTAAGCAAAATAGCACTTACCTGAATCACCGGGTTCTTCATTTAGGTATATCCAAAAAATACGCACAGGTTCAGCTTTTAAAACTTTAATCCGTACATAAGTTACAAAAGAGAGGTTATTACAAGAGATCAAAAAACTATGCATCCATTTCCTAAGGCATTCATTAACAAACTAAACTAAAAATATAACACTGATTACATCATAAATCGTTGAGCGCGCGGTTAAAACTTACGTAATCAGTTCAATCCGTTATGCACGAGCACAGGCGGAAGTATCACATATCCAACATTGACCAAGAGTATAATAGCGCTTTGCATCGGTATTTGAAACATAACTCACACAGAGACTTACTGAAGTGGACGCGTCAACGGCTCTCATTCGGAGTTGTTTGTTGTATGATTTTAAAGTCATCAGTCAGCAGCAAAATCAAGTTGCCGAATTGGCCAGGCCTTTGGGGCTGATGCCATTAAGGAACAAACTGCTAGGAAATGGTTCCAGAAGTTCAGGTCAGGGAATATGTCTCTTAGTGATGCACCACGCAGCGTTCGGCCACAAGAGCTGGACGATGAGGCCCTGAGAGCAGCCATAGAGAGTGAAAGTAGCCAAACACGTGATGAGCTTGCCGCACAGTTTCAGGTATCTAATGAAATGAGCAGACTCCATTTGCACCGCATAGGAAAAGCATACAAGCTGAACAGGTGGGTATCTCACTCACTGTCTGATGCAAACAAGCAACAGGACATCGCTGCTCATTTGTCATTGCTTACTCAGCACTGCAATGCATCCATATTTTATGGAGTACTCACCAGCAATGAAAAGTGGGTCCAATATGAGAAATACAGGCGTTTCAGACATTGGTTGTCACCATGGGACCCTGTGCCCACACTGCTAGATCTTCTCTCCACCTACGCAAGATCATGCTCTGTATCTGGTGGACTGGTCGCCAAGTGGCGCACTAGGAGCTCCTGCCAGTGTGCCAAACCATCACAGTAGACCTGTACTTGCAACTAGGAACCCATGGTGACAACCAATGTCTGAAACGCCTGGATTTCTCATATTGGACCCACTTTTCATCGTTGGCGAGTACTCCATAAAATATGGATGCATTGCACTGCTGAGTAAGCAATGACAAATGAGCAGCGATGTGCTGTTGCTTGTTTGCACCAGACAGTGAGTGGGGTACCCACCTGTTCAGTTTGCATGCTTTTCCTATGCGGTGCAAATGGAGTCTGATCATTTCATTAGATACCTGAAAGTGTGCGGCAAGCTCATCACGTGTTTGGCTACTAGGTCTACTGTGATGGTTTGGCCTGTACTTGCAACAGTGCATTACGCCCCGATGCATAAAGAGCCAGCTTTGGTCAATCGTAAGGGTGTACTCCTCCTCCATGACAATGTGAGGCCGCAAGTGACTCTGTAGGCTACGGACACCATCCAGCGACTGGGCTGGGAGACACTACCCTATCCACTATACTCCTCAGACTTCACGCCAACAGACTACCACCTTTTCCATTCCCTGGACAACCATCTTCATAGGAAATCCTTCAACAACTGGCCAGACCTCGAAAAGGCGCTCATGGAATTCTTTGCATACAAGACTCCTAAGTTTTACCACAATGGCATCACACAGTAGTCACTCGTTGGCAAAAGGCACTGGATGCCGATAGGTATTACTTTGAGGATTAGTGGTGATTATTATTTGTTTTATGAATTTTTCTTTCTGACTGTCCAAAATGGCAAGAATTTTTTTGGTTACCTTGTACTTCATTTGATAAACAATGTTTCATTTCAAATTATAAATGCATTTTCTGCCCTTAAAAATATTAAATGTTAAAATCATAGAAAATATTTAAATATATGAGGTGCAGATATAACTTACATGAAATTCAAATTACATACAATTAAATGTAAAATAACAGCATTAGTAATAACTTTTAACAATGCAAATGCATTTATTATCATTATCATTAATGAAAAAAAAATCTAGAAAAATGACTAGAATTTTGATACATAATCTAAAACAAACTTTTCTAAATAAACTTTTTCAATGACCAGATATACACTAATAACCTAGAGTCAAAATGATAATTATTTTTCTTCTAAACATTAGGAATTTTAGTTAAAAATGTTATAATTTTATAAAAATTTGCTTTCCTAGTTCATCGTCAAATACTAGCATCTGATAAAAGTCACTCCCGTTCTAAGATCTTAATACAGTCAAAAGTCGTTAATCCGGACTCGTCGGGACTTCGGCGATTCTGGATTATAGATCATCAGTTTAAATCTCGTAAGATGACATGCAGAAATTCTAAAATTAAAAATATGAAACCGTAATTTATGAAATAAAGAACAATTATAATCTAAAGGGTAATCAAAATTTACAAAAAAAAAAAAAAAAAAAAAAAAAATCTTAATATTTATTTGTTTACTTTATTAAACATTTCTTTCAATGTAAGTTGTTTAAGTTGCTTTGTTTTATGTGATAATACTTTCTCTTTAATTCTATAAACAGACATGATTTCAAAGTTCCGCTGTTCAAGTCCCGTTAATTGCTGTGCCGAGAATAACGACTAACTTGTCAATCGAAATTTTTTCGTTCTCACTAACCTCTCTGTCACATTCTTCATGTCTTTATCCATTTTTTGCAGCAATTTCACTTTTTGTTTGATGGACATCGAAACATACTTTCGTTTTGTACGATCCTTTGGGAGCTCCAGAATCGGAAATTTTATTTGACATCGAAAGTTCAAGTTTACTTTTATAAAATTGCTCTTACAGTCTGCAAAAAATAATAAGCCGGATCCAATTCGAAGATTAAGGAACAACGCAATTATCAACATTAACTGAGATAATTAGATAGTTTTTAGCTTATACCATCCGTTATACATAAAACGCGCACGCGAAAACGTTTTCTGCACTTGCGCACACGCATATGTGCAGTCGTAAAAGGTCTTACGTGTAAACGTGCATGCGCACAAAGTTTTTAGCTTTGAGGTCCGGATTATAGATCATTACGGATTATGGGTGTCCGAATTAACGACTTTTGACTGTATAGCAGAAAATACATATTTCCAAAAACAATATTATAACTGTTGTATGAGTCTTAGAAACTAAGTGATGCACAAAATGTTCTGTATTTAAAAAATATCATATTTTTAGGTATTGAAGTAAAAGAGATTTTTGCTGTTTAAAATCAATCCACTGTTTTGCATTTTTAATCATACACAATTTTTACACATATTGTTATGAATTTTGTATTTAGATAGCTAATGTTGATAGAACTATAATTAAAATTGTTTTATTCCCCTGTGCAATGCTGCACGAGACATACTTTTAAGAGAAAGCTATGCTGGTAATAGGAACACATGCACTTTAACATTTAATAAATAGATATCTTGTAATTTATATTTACACTGAATAAATGAAATTGACTACTGTGTTAGCTGCAACTGTAGTTCTATTCTATTGCTTTCCACAAATCCTGAGAAGCAAAGAAATTACTAGAACTCTCTCATGACCAAAAAAGTCAGAGAGAAACATCTCAGTTCAGTTGCTTAGTTGCTGTTACTGCAATTAGTTTTAGTTCTGTACAAACTGAATTAGCTTTTTCTTTGAATTGCATTGTATTTTAATGTTTTGAGTAGTTTAAAGTATAGTTACTGGTTGCATTGCATTCTATTTAATGTATTTGTGTTCTACTGATTATTAGTGCCCAATATTATGAACACTATTAAGAATATCTCCGAGGAAAATTCCAGCACTTTGTTACATTTCTTGTGATAATAATAAGTTTTTACCAACTTTTCATCAGACTTGTGCATTATATCTATTACAAACCTGTATGCATGCAACAATATATAAAAGGGAATTCTTTAAAACAGAGCTCATGAAATTTTTGAAAAGATTCACTGATTCCTTGTTGCCAATGTTGAGAGAACAATAGTAAAATCCCGTTAAAATTAATATATAGGGGAAATATGTTGGAAGTACATGCCTACAAATTAAGCAGTGCTCTAAAGAAACTTAAAGACATTATTAGTCAACTTTTTGAAATTATAAATTTGAAAATTTTAATGCATTCTAGAAAACATAGAATTGCAAATAATAATTGTAAATTAGAAATTAGAATTGTAAATTAGAAATTTTAATGAGCAATTGAGAAGTTCTATTTGCATTAATAAAATGAAACTTATAAAATGAAGGGGTTACAATTCAGTTACAAATTAGTATTACAATTCATAACATAAGGTGTTATGCTAAGATACTACAGCACAAATACACAAAATATTAAAATATAAAATGGGGGAAACATACATTTAATTAGACATAAAAGATAATTTTGATTTATACTTATTATAATACAACTTACTTTTATATGTTTGAAATCGAACATATTCCTATGAACAAAAGTTTGTTTGATCTTCTGATTGGTCCATGTTATGAACATTTTATAGAATGTTGTGGCCTAATAAAAATGGAACATTAATAAAAAATTATAATATTTGTTTATTAATTTTTTTTTCAAAAATGAAATTAAAAAAATACTTTTTCAGTTAAGCCAACAGCAAAATATATGGGTATTTTAAGATTCATTCTTTCCCAGTACGTCTCAAGAAGTATGCACATCTCTTGTGCACGTCCAAGTGCAAAAACCGGAATGAGAACCTAAAATGGGATAAAACATTTTTTATTAAAAATGGTTAATATATGATAACTCACTACAAGAGTGAATATTTCACTTTCTTATACTTCCTCAAACCAAATCTTAATTTTTTGGAGGATATATTTCTAGTTTTATTTATAAACATTAAATGGTATTTAGTATGATATCAGATACAGATAAACCATTTACACCCAAAAAGAGCATTTGACTCAAAGATCCAAAAAATGTAGACTCTTAAAAATTAAGCAATCCCTTGTTTAATTTTATAAATTAAAAAGGATGTAAGGTTTACTCTAAATTTTTAACAATTATCTTTTTTTAAAGCTACTTTCCTGTCTCTCCTAATTTAAGCTTACAATTTCCTACCAGAATGTGTTTTTTAAATCATTATTAATGCAAATGAGGAAGAGCGGTATTTAAGTCGAAGTTCCACTGACTTCGTTAGACAGCCAGAGATTCCGACTAGTGTACATTTGCCATTTGGCTACACTCTCTCTAAAGCTATTACTACAATCGGCCGTATTTCAAGCCCTTAATAGCTTTACCAGTTAGTTAACATTTAGGGGCCAACTCCTTAGAATTTTGATAGCTTCGGCTATATCTTTTTAGCTACGCATTAGTGATTTTAAAATTAAGTTTGATTTCTTAGTACTCTTGAGTTCAAGACCAAGTGGAGGCTTTTCTGTATATTCTGAGACAGGAGCCATCTGTAAGTTCTTATTTTGAGAAATAAAGAGTAATTAACCCTTCTTGAATTTACGTTTCTGTTTCCTGCGCTAACGCAATTATTCGCTTACCAGTTCTTGAGGTTCCACACACTTAGCTGTAAGAGATAAGTTTGGAACCTCATAAGGAAATTTATGTGTTTCTTTGTTCATTGGGTTCTTTTACCTTGAATTAAGTTCTCATTTGCATTAGCATAGGATCTATGTTTATTGGGATTTTAGCTTGTATAATTACTGCAATATTTGTTCTAAGCCCTTTTGTTCATAAAATAATTATTTTGCACAGTATCTTTTAATCACTTTAATTTTTGGAGATTGTGTTGAAGTTCTGAATTGCGGTTATTAGTTCATTATAGCGGTTACAACTTTAGTATTTTTTCCCCTGTACATCTGCTGTCATTATTTGAAATTGAAATCTGGCCCAAGCTTAATTTCCAAGAGCTTTAGGGGATTATAACCATGCATTTATTTTTCTATTATCAAAGTACATCACCTTAACCAGGATGTTATTGATAAAGTTTTTAATTTTTCTAATTTATTTTACTGATATACAGTGCCACAGAAGCACAAAACTCATTTCTTTTTTACTGTTTGCACAATGATTTTTGTTCTGAGTTCAATATTGGGATTTTGTGGAACTTGGGTACTGGCTGAAAGTTCCAAAATATTCATTTATTCACACTGCTGAATATAATATTTCTAGAATCACAAATTATAATACTCCTTTTTTCAAACATGTGCAAAAAGAAAAACTTTCAATCTTAAAAATCGTTCAATGAATGAATATTATAATGAATATTTTAATTTTCTGAAATGATCTTGGAATTTCAAAATTCAGCATATCTGAAAAGGAATATTAAATCTACTAAAACATATTACAGAAGATAAAAACAATGGGCATTGAAGAAGTCTCAACAAAATCTGCAAAAAGTTATTTATTTTAATCTAAACATTTGTTCCTTCTTTATCCAACGAAGATGTCCAGAAACTCCTATAACACAATGCCTTTTAGATTTCTATAGTAATGTTTTATTTTTGAAGTTAGATTTGTTTAACCTTCTGAGAGGCATGACCAGCTTTATCCGGTCATGAGATTTTTTGTCACTTTACATATTAGCTTATAACTTAAGATATTTTGCTTTCTTACTTTCTTTAATAATTTAAATGTAACCTTAATGAATGTAAGTTTATGAAAATAGAGGCTAAAATAAGTAAATATATGAATTTAGTTAATAAATGCTGCACAAATACAGGTCTTCACGACAGATCCCCAAACCCATGCCGCTCAGAGGGTTAAAACAAACAATTACATTTTGATGTCTAATGTAAAGATGTTTCTCATTTTGTAAATGAATTTAGTACATATTTTTTAAATTTTTAATTTGGTAAGTATTAGAAATTTTTATTTTAATGAATTTAATTTCAATTTCAGTATTTATTAATTTCATTTTTAATATTTAATTTTGTGCAAAAAGAAAAAATTTTAATCTTAAAAATCTTTCAATGAATTTATAATGAATATTTTAATTTTTTTTATATATTGAAATTAAAATTTTATATTATTATTTATAATATTAGAGCTCTTGATTTAGAAACTTTCAAGATTTAGAACTGTAATTTAGGTGCCTTTAAGCTTCCTAGATTTATTTATATAATACTTGGCATCCGAATCTTGCATTTGTATATATAATTTACTTTTAATGATGTTTGAGTTACACTTCTGGCCTATTTTATTAAGACCAACTAAACTCCTCAAAGATAAATTATCTTTTAAATCACTTTAATAATAATGTACAATGCACTGGGAAAAAAAAGGGGGGACAGTTCTATAGCTCCTATTTTACTGGCCAATTAACGAAATTCAAATTGTTTTTCATGTCTCAAAAGCACAACTTAGGATATATATTAAATTTATATATAGCATTATTCTAACATAGGTATTTTGAAACAAAATCGGACCTTTTCTGAAATAACATATAAATTTTTTCCATATTTCGATTCTACAACTCCAATTATGCCTAGATATTAAGTTTTCTAACCCTTGTTGAGACACGAGCAGAAAAATGGTCACCATTCATACTGTCAAATAATTTTAACAAAGTTCATAAACAACATATGGCATTATTATTGCTTATAACGAATATGTTGAACTTCAAAATGCGCCAAAATGTAAATATATCTACTTGAAGATGATGGTAAACATTTTATAGGTTATAATTCCAAAAATCTGTTTAAAAAATTTATAAAATTATTTAAAATAAATTATAAAAACATGTGAATTTTAATTGGAATGAACCTGAATTTCGAAATGTGAAAGGAAGAATCGAATAAGTTTAATAAAAAAATAGATATTAATTAATATATACCAAACTCGATTAACAATGAGGAGCTAAAATTTTGAAAGCTAATTTTTTAAAAACTACTTGTGCATTTTTACAAAACTTGGCAGTTTGGCATAATTTGAATCATAAAATTGAAATATGGAAAAAAAGGGCATGCTATTTCAGAAAAGGTCTGATTTTGTGTCAAAATACCTATATTAGAACAATGTTATATATAATCTAATACATATTGTTGCGTTTTTTTCTGACACCAGTTGTTACGTTATTAAGGGTTCATATGGATTTGGAGTGAATAATGACAATACTACTTGCTGAAGTATCAAAACACACTTTATTGGCTAGTACTAATCAGGAGAGCTCCAAAATCCCGTTACAGTCGTCGGAGAACTATTATAAACGCGCTGACACAATCAGCGACACAGCCTTCAGGTTATCAGGCTATCATGGTGGAGACAGCTTCACTGCAAACAGAGAGTACAGCTCCTGACTCTGCTCAGTCGTTCTCGGAACTCCACGCACTCTCGAGACTCTCCACGCTACAACTCGCGATGCACTCGACGACACACACAGCACAGCTACCGACTCTGCGGTTCAGTAGTTCCCGGAGCTCAACACACTCTCCCAACAATGCACTAACCGTGATACACTAAGGGACTCTTTGATGCACTCGACGACCCACTCGGCACTCGCTGCCCGGCTGTCAACTCGATCGTCTCCGCACGGACTAACGACCAAACTAGATGAGTCACACTCTCGATACCAACCGACTCTCCGCGTAGCAGCAGGGTTTATACAGATTTTGACTGGTGATTGAGAACATTCTGGGCTAAACCGGTAAGAATTCGTTCCAGAGGGTTCTCCATCAGTCCATGGTATATCACCAATTTTGTTGCCAAATGGGCAATTTCTCACCAAGAAAAGTGGAAAATGGCAAAGAAAAATGGCAGTGGAAACCCTGCCTTCCACTGCCATTTTATGGCAACCCTAAAACTGCTTTGCAGGTAAGCTATCTTACTGCACCGGGACATTTCGTAACAATATCCTAAGTCGCACTTTCAAAACATGGAAAACCCAAATTGAATTTTATCAATTGGTGCAGTAGAACAGGAGATACAGAACTGTCCCATTTCTTTTATGGTGCAGTGTACCTATTAAAAAAAAGCAAAATCCCTTCTAAAAAGTTTATTTCTAATATCAAGATCTTGGAACCATGCATCCTCCAATAAATACCTTTCCTCCTCTTTCTACACAGTCGTGGACTTTAGTTAAAAAGTCTCTTTCACGACATCTTTTGGAGTCCCTTATGGTTGTTGCATATGTTGATTCTGTTATTAGCAAATCTGGTCTACATTTGTCAATCCATGCTGCACCCAAATGACGATCTGGTGTCGTATTGAAATCACCCTAAAAAAATTTGAAGACAAAAAATTTTTGGATATTAAAATGTAACAGTATACCATTCAATCCAATAATAGGTATAAGTGAAATTTAAATGTGAAATATGAAAAACTGCAAATAATAAATAAACCAATTTTGCTATTAGAAATGTTTCAAGAATCTTTTTCTTTACTACTTTGGCAATATTTGTTTGTGACTGCACATATCGTCTATATAAAAGCCATTTTTTAAATTTTGAGTTGTGTTTCAGATTGTGGATAAATGCAAGGATCTTCATATTAGAAAGATTGCCTTCATTTCATTTTAGTATATTTCAGTAAAAGTAGTTTTTACAGTTGCAAAATTTGTTTTTAAAAGTATATTTGCAAAGCTATCTAAATTCCTTTTTACAGTTATCAAACTACAATACAGATATTTCCCACTTTGTGAAAAATTATTTTATGCCAGTTTTTTCTTATAAAGTATCTATATTAATACATGCATTTACTTACCAAATGAAATCCAAAGGAAGTTAAAATAATCTGTAATGCTTTTAAAGAGATTTTAATGACAGAATACAAATAGACTTTTAAAAAAAAGACTGAAAGAAAGACTTTTCAAAGAAGTCTTCCCCCCCTCCAATGGCGGGCCATCAGCCGACTTCGGCTTAGTCACTACTAAGGCTAGAAGTGCTGGCCACTACTAGAAGTTTAGTATAAAGACACCTAATAGGTGGGCTACCTTTAGCTCCTTTTTAAAGAAGTAAAATGTTTAAAATATCTTGATCTAGATATGTGAGTAGAATGCAAGAAAGTGTGTCACTTCCATGTACATCTAGTCTCAAGTGTAAATCTGATGATAAGTGCACTAATTCAAAACACATCGTGCACGATCAGCAAAAATACCATCTTCTGAAAAATATAAAATAAACCATCAAAAAGGTAAATTTTTCAGATTACAAAACGCATCATTTAGTAATGCAGAAAAGACACATTTCTTAAAATTAATGGATATAAAAGCTGCTATCTAAAAGTGATTTAAACGGTAAATTATTAACACATTTGCAACTGCTAAATTTCTATTCCTGGTTGCCACTAATGTGAATTCATGTCATTTCAGACTCTATTCCTGGTTGTTGCTAACATGAATTCATGTCCTGCTATTCATGCCCGAATGTTAAAATCTTGAGAGACAAGATGCCTATGGCATGGCCGAGTAAAATAACAAAGTACAGAATACTAGTCACTTTTGCTTGAGACAAGTGCTATATCTGTCAACTTTATTGAGGAAAAGGAGATAATTCAGATAAACTTATCCCACTCCTTTTAAATAAAAACTAAAACTTATGGCATCATGTATACATGGACAAGTACTATAAAAGTATTATATCAGTTGAAAACTTACTGAAGAAAAAAATTTATGTTTGTGGTACTATATGTAATAATAGGTTTTCCGAAGGAACTAAATGATCTCAGATTGAATACACGTGAATCTGATTTTTGACACAAAGGTGATGTACTAGTTTTCAATGGAAGATAAACAAGAATGGAAAGATAAACAAGATGTTCAAATGACATCCACCATACGTAATACAGATATAGCCGAGATGGAAAAAATATATAAAAAAACTGGACGGCAAGTTCGTAAGCCTGAGTACATAATGAAATACAATCAACGTTGAAAGGTGTCGATCTTGCTGATTAATATCTTTCATATAATTTATTTTTGCAAAAATCTATGAAATGGACAAAAAGAGTTTTCATGTTTCTCTTAGACTGCACTCTCTTCAATTCATTTATTTTGCATCATAAGCTCAATCCAAATATCAGAATAACTTTTTCAAAATTCTTACAAACTCTGGCAGAAGAATGGATTACTTCTGCTACTGAACATCATGATCCTGAAAATTTACCAAAAAGTAGCTCAACAGCAGTATGCCGAGCATCTTACCACGATCCTCCTTACAGGATTTCAGGTGACATAACAGCACCCCACTTGGAAAGAATCATCACACAGTCTGGAAAATTTTAAGTATATCCACAAAAACATTGTAGAGACCGCAAAACTCATAGAAAACATCATGAAAGTCCAACTGAGCCCTTTTGTTGGACTTATTGATTTTCAATTGCACAGAAAACTGTGCACATATACCGTATTTTCCGGCATATAAAGTGCATCTATAATTGAGTTACATTTGTTAATTTTTAGGTAATTCGTCATATAATGCATACCCAATTCTTTATTAAGAAATTTAAGAGATACCTGTGCAATGCTCTTATCTTTTGAGGACACTTATTCCAATATTTGTCCTAGACTTTCGAACAATGGTAAAATGCACTGACAAACAATAAGGAAAAAAGGGTGGATTGTATTTAATGCAGCTGTCCAAAAGAAAGCTCCTGTAGAAGCACTTTCAACCTGAATGAATTCGGGGAATTAGGAGTTAAATGCTTTCTCTTTCTGTAGTCATTTGAAGCCAAGATTTTGAAGTTATTAATGGCAAAAAGCTACCAAACTATTCCACAGTTTTTTATGTTGCTAGTTAACCCATTTATGCCCAGTGGCTAAAATATGGGATGCTTGGAAATTAATTCTAGGAATCTTGTAGTACATATAACCTTTAACCAAATCAATTTTTTTATGCGCCAGAGGATTGTTCTCACTATTAGCAAAAGATGGAACCACTAGATGGACATTAAAATTATTTTAGAACAAGTTATTTTTATACGAAACATTCGAGCATCGACAAATGATGGGTAGCCACAGAAAGTAAGTATTTTTTGCAAACTTCTTATTCATAAAACTAAAAAACATTAAAATGATTTCCTTAAAACAGATCATAAAAAAACTTCTGCAAAGTTATTTTGCAACAATAACAATAGCATTTTTGTGTAATTACGTTTAATCTTTGGCACCCTATTTATGGGACACTGAGCATTTGTGAGTGCATTAAGCCTACAACATTTTACTGTCTTATCAATAACCTAAATGCATTTTTATTCGAAATATGCATGTTTTATGCGATAAAACTTCAACATCTACTCCCTTATTACTATTTATTGTATACAAAATTCTTAAATTCTAAAATATTTGCTAAAATATATTTGTGTGTACAGAAAATATATTCATAAAATTGTAAAAAAAATCAATTTTTAATTTTTTTCTTGAAAGGCATTTTTCAGATTACGCATATTATTGAAACGAAAATATGATTTATATTATTTTGTGCATACAAAATAATTCTAATTGTTATTTACTGGAAAACTTTGATCAATTATTTCAGATACTTAAATGAAGCAAATATCCAATTACAATAGCAATAGACAATTACTTTACTTCCATAAAGCTCATTGAGTTGTCAAATTCTGGATTTGCGGTTGTAGGTACACCCAGAGAAAACAGGATTGAAATCTATCTGGTTGAAACCGTTAAAAATCTGGAGAAAAACAAAAGTTACCGGAAAGAATTAGATTACCGGAAAGAATGTCATCTGGTGTAATAATTGTATGTTTGAAAGACAAGAGAGAAGAGTTTCAAACTGTATTGGAATAAATCCATTAGATTCAACCAAACGCTGGTCGGCTCAGAAACAGAAGATGGTAATTATTACATACAACCTGTTTATGGGAGGTACTGATCGAATGGATAATAATATTTCAAAATAATCGTATTGAATTCTGTGGAAAGAAATGGTGGTTTCCACTTGCCATGCTTTTTGATTTCCATGATGATTGTTTTAATACAATGTTTAATGCCGTGTTTTTTATCGATATTAAAGTTTTGAATACAAGTGTATTCAATTCAAAATTCATAGCTCATCCATCCATGTTTTGCAAGAAACAGGTTCATAATGGATCGACTAGAATCTCGTGGCAGCATTTCACAGAACTATATCAAACAATTTGGAATGCTTCCCAAAGCTGGAAGAACAATCACTTCAACAAAGATGAGTACGTGTGCGACAATGAAATTTAATTCAACCAAATTGGCCACACAATTGTAAACATAACTACGTAAGTAAAACACAACTGCAATGTGCTCAGTGTTTAGGTGAGACCACAAAAAAATGTGAAAAACATAACGTTGCACTACATGATAAACGCTTTCAACAATTTCATGAAAAATAATTGTTATTACATTTCCATTGTTTATAGCATGTAAAATGATCTTAAAAATTATTTATATTAACCTTTACTTATTTTTATGATTCGCAATACTGGAAATTTCAAATACTAATAAATACTAACACAGGTGTATTTTGCTTACATGTATGCCTAGTGTCCCATAAACAGGACATTAACTAACTCAGCAAGATCGCGATCATTTTGACATCTAAAGTGTATTTACATCTTTCATATTAAGAGATATAAGTTCATTAATACAAATAAAATTGAAAAAAAAAAAAAAAAAACTTGAGCGTAAACGGGTTAATAAAATTATGTAGAATTTATAATTTCTCTAGCTGTAAATTACTATATTAATTTACCTACAAAAAATATATTTAAATTTCTTTAATTAGAGGTTTTCTTTCAAATATTTAAGCATGATTATGTTAATAGTAGAAATTAGAAATGTTTTTTAAAAAAAGAACTTGATTTAAATTAAAAAAAAATAATTTAGATTTTCTTTTAAATTAAAAAAATTTTTTTTTTTTAAAGTAAAAGTTTCCCCTTCCCATACATTACCCAATCAACTGATACTCATACTAATACTGTCTTTACAGCATTATGGGCCCCAGGCAAACCAGTGCACCTAATACAATAGCCAAGGCCCCTAATACAACTACTAATAGAAATGACATGTAGATCGATTATCATGGTGTCCCAGGAAAACTGCCCAGTGTTCCCATGCATTAAGATGGCCAACTCATACATTTAATTAATTAAAGCATTATTACAGCATTTTTACCAGAATTTTTGAAATGTTATTCACTTTGAACTAATAATTAATCTCATTAAAACAATCACAGTTGCAAAATTGATGAAAAACATTAATCAAGATTTTTTTGATAAAATTCTAATATAAAATAATGAAATTCAGAAAAATATGAGAAATGAGCATTTGTTCTACATTGAGATTTATTCTATTTTTAGCATTATATTATTTTTATTAAGTGATGTGATAAACTTCAATAATTCAAATTTTAATTCAGATCAAAATTTTAGTATTGTAAATTTTATATTGTATCAAAGTATTAAATGCCCAATAAAATTAAAATATGCCTTGTAATGTTAGGTGCTAGCATGAATCATCAATTTAGATATGTATCGGTTTTAACGATCTATCTATCTTTCTATCTTTTACAGCCAAGTAATTTTTTTTTTCTATTAATCTATCTTTCTTTTATCTATTATTCCATCTAACTATCTTTTATCTATCTATCTTTTAGAGCCATGCAATTTTTTAAATTGAACAAAAATTGATTTGATAAGATGCTTACTGATATGTCTTTCTAATAACTTAAAGCAGGTAAAAAAGGTCAAGTATAAATAAAACTTTTTGGGTTACTAAGACATAATAAGCAGGATACTTTTTGAAAAGTTTTTACATGGCATAAATTCAAAGCAAATTCAATTTTAAATGACTAGTACTTACAGTATAGACAACAGACTGGGAACCAACTTTAATTAGGAACATAGCTGCACCAAGTACATGACCAGCATAGTAAGCTTTAATTTCAAGTTCATCATCAACCTATCAAAATACAACTTTAATGTAATAATGTATTAAAACAACAAAAACAGGACATTTGGAAGGAGGAAGGAAATAGCTTTTCACATCACTGAAAAATCATAAATACTATTTATGGAATACTAAGTATCTACTATGTTAATTTCACTACATGCACGATTAAGGAACAAAGTAATATACCACTATATTCAAAATTAAAACATGCTCAAGTATAAATACATATTTAAAATTTTCATCTCTTCCAGCGTGGTCTAAACCACAGCCCATATGTGGCCCCCTTATTCATTTTGTTGGCACCTGTCCTTCTTTTTGGGGAAAAACAAAAGACCCTTCTTACTGCTTTAACCTTTTGAGGCCAGGGCTTTGGTAGCAGTAAAAGCTACCAAAGGACGGGGAATTTTGAACCGAATGCTTTCCCCCCTTTAAGAAATCGCCTCGTATTTGCAACAAAGATTCTTGTGTGTAGTTTAATGGATTCTCAGAGGGGTCCATCTATGTCGCAAAAGGAAGACCTTTGAAAGAGATAAGTGGTTAAAACCCCAAGGAAGTCAAATTTGACATTTCACCCTACTTTTCAGCCTGGGAAATGGGGGAAAAAGACATGGCCACTAAAGTGGACAACCCTGTCTTTTTCAAAGAGAGGACTCTATGGCTACTATAATGGCCATCCCGTCTTCAAAAGGTTAAGTAATAAATACAAATAATCATATTAAATATAATAATTAAATAATAAAACTTATAAGGCTCAGAAAGCCAATGAAAACTGTTGTAAACATTGTAAATTTAATAAAGGGAGGCAAAGCCTAGAGACAAAGAGCATTTATTGCATTTGTGGAAAATTCGGATGCTGAGTATGGTGACATTTCATTGTACTGTCAAGTTCGCTAGCTAAGTGCTGGAAATTGTAACAGCTTTTTGGGTCGAGGAATGAAATTCTTGCTTTCCTCAAAAAAGGGAATATTAGGCATGAGTATCAAGAAAAATTTGAAGAAATCCAGTTTTTAAATAATCTTGCTTTTCTGACAGATTTAACACCCTATCTAAATGGTTTAAACTTGAAACTACAAGGCAGAAAACAAAATATATCCCAGCTTTATGGACATATTGAAGGCTTTCACAAAAAACTTGATGTAACGTAAATTGCACTGAAGGCAAATAATACAGCACACTTTCCATTTTGTCAGCAACTGAAAGAAGAAAATGACACAAATTTTAGTATGTTTCATGAAATAATTACTGATATCAAGAAAGAGCTCCAGGATTTTGACTCCCTAAAAACAAAACATTCATTGTTAAACAACCACACAGAGATTGAGGTGTCTTGCGACCTTCAAACAGAAATTTAAGATCTACAGACAGATCCATTCTACCAGACTAAAAAGTGCAATGTCACTAAACATTTCTGTAAACTGATCTCTAAAGAACGTTTTCCCAAACTGCATAAATTCTCTTTCAAATGTTATCGCTGTTTGGAAGTACATATGGGTGTGAAAGTGCTTTTTCGGCCCTCAAACAAATTGAATCAAAAACAAGAAATCGCATTGAAAGTGCTTCACTGGAATCGAGCCTGAGACTTTGCCTTACTGAAATTACAGTGGGCATATATAAACTTGTATAAAAAAAAAAGCAGTGCCAATCATCACATTGATTTCTAGACTGTAAAATAAAGTATTATATTAAACTAGTAATTTATATGTAATTCATTTTCATTCTTTAATGTCTCTGGCTCTCACTCTCCTACACTAATGTTTAATTGGCCCTTGGGTAACTAAAAGTTGGACCACACTGATCCATTCAACCAAAGTTTATATATATTAAGCTTAAATATACTAATGGTTAGTCTATATTTTAGGGTGCCCCTTGGATTATCGCCAAGTTGTTTCATTTATCGCCAAATCTTTGCTTCATTTATGGTAACCTGAGTAATGTTATGGAAACCCTACTATGATGCGATTGGCTGCAAGATTGGGGTGAATTTGACTGATGGGAAAATATTTGTAAGGGTTAATTTCTGCATTGGATGTCAGTTAGTATGTATGTATGTATAAATGTATGTATGTGTTCATGTACACATGTATATATGTGTGTGTATAACAGACATACATACATTTCTGAATCTGGTCCCAATAACAGAAGAGTACCATTTATTATTCTGATCAGTTTCCATGCTTTTTTTTTATTTCAAAATTTCCATATAGCTATTAATGTTTTGTTAGTAAACCTTAATACATTTTCATTGGTAAAATGACTATTTAGTACATTTTTTATTGACTATGTAAGAAAAAATTATTTCGGGCATTAAGTTAAAACTATAACATGATATAATTACCTGGACTGTTTCGTGCAAACCAACAGTCGTAACCTTCTTCATGCAATCTTTTACCATAGTAGATGTAAAAAAATTTGTTTCACCTTTCTTATCCACGGTGATTCTTCTGTAATCTTCCTGTTAGAGGAATGAATTAAAATTAACATAAGAAACAATAATTAATAAACTACTGAGCTGCATGCAAATCTTGGTAAAACATAAAATTAAATAAAACACAAATTATAAAATGTAAAATGAAGTATGCTTTGAAAACAAGCATACCGCAACTAACGACACATGATTAGGAAAACGAAAACAAATTAAACTGCATTATTAAAATGAACTTTGGAATAATTCACCAAACATACATGATTTTTGAAATTATAATAGTATGACTAATAGTTATAGGTTTTCATTTTACAATAACTGTATAAAAATAAAATCTTCTAAATAATATGCTCCAGTCATTGATTTTAAATGCTTTAATGTGAATGCTCACAATAGTAGTAGGATCTGATTCAGGCATTCTGGATCCTACATATGGAGTAACCAATAATCATTTTCCTTCTTTTCATAAACATAAAACAAGCTTAATAGTCACAGGATGATTTTAGAGTCCCTCAAAACAGCTACAGAGAAATCATGGTTTGTATATAAAATAAAACCTAATTGTCTATGGTAAGGAGTAAAAGAAGTTTAAAGAGCAAATTCTGGGCAATTACAAATGGCTGAGCAAATGTTTTCTTATGGCTTTTTAAAATAATGTATTTTTAATAAATGATTAAAAAGTGATGGGAATTATACATATACAGTCAAAAGTCTTTAATCCAGACGTCCGGAATGATCTATAATCCGGACCTCAAAGCTACAAACTGCGCATGCGTAAACGCATTATGCATTTACGCATGTGCATAATACGTTTACGCATGTGCATTTAATGTATAACGGATGGTATAAGCTAAGCTAAAATTATCTAATTGTCTATTTCAGTTAATGTTGCAGATTGCATTGTTCCTTAACCTTCTTATTGAATCCGGCTTATTATTTTTTGCAGACTGTTAGAGCAATTTTATAAAAGTAAGCTTGAACTTTCGATTATATCAAAAAGAATTTCCGATTCTGGAGCTACCAAAGGATCTACAAAGCGAAAGCATGTTTCGATGTCCATCAAACAAAAAGTGGAATTGCTGCAAAAAATGGATAAAGGCATATCCTTTCATTCTCTAACCATTCCGAAATATGTTTTATCAATTTCACACTGCTCTGCGCGGGTGGAGGGGAGGGACAACACGGTGCACAATGAACTGGAAGTTAATCTGTCAGCATTATTTCTATCATCTTTTTATCTTTTATCTTTTATTCAGCTTATAATTCCTTACTAAATGTAGTATTTCATCTCGATGTACTCTGTCTTTGATATGATTTAAATCAAATTCATTATAAATATCACGAATACACATCAAATAGTTTTCTGGTTGCAATTTTCTAATTTCGACTATGCGTAACGTATGCTTTACGCATGCGTGTGTTGAAAGAAATGTTTAATAAAGTAAACAAATAAATATTAATTTTTTTGGGTAAATTTTGATACTCTTTAGATCATAAATTATGGTTTCATATTTTTAATTTTATAATTTATGCATGCCATCTTACCAGATTTAAACAGATGATCTATAATCCGGAATGGCCGAAGTCCCGACGAGTCCGGATTAAAGACTTTTGACTGTACAATCTTTCAGAGAAGGAAAAACTCGAAAAATACTTCTCAAATGCTTTCTATAAATGAACCTGACATCTGATCAATATGATTTAGCCAAATCCATAGCATCAACGGTGACTGGTTATTCTTATACTGGTAAAATTCAAAGGTATTAGAATGTCTTGAAGTTTGATTTCAAACAATGAAATAGATTTTTGGAAATTGGAAAGATATATCATCGTCATATCTTAATGTTAGATCATGACAATGTCACAGATCTAACATTAAGATATGACGATTGATTTTATTAGCATTAAGATAGATTAAGATGATTTTATTAGCACAGATTAAGATTGATTAGCATTGTTGGGAAAAAACTAACATATGAATGTCATTCTTCCTTAATTCAAATTTATTAGGACTAATACTACAAACGGTTTAACTCAAGCTATATGAAATTGCATTGAAGAATTAAAAGGCACATGCAGTTAGAATAAAGTTAAGAAAAATGAAATAAAATTATTTATTTATTTTTGACACACTAAAACCAAATTTAAGCTTAAATAAAAATAGCAACTTTTGTAGAGTTCTGTCTGGTTCATCAGCCAGAGCTGGAATGAATGCCTCAATCAAGTTCTCCCTGTTTTGCTATTTTTTACAGAGTTGCTGTATTCCTCAGGATCGATAACCAAATGTATAAAAGGTTGAAAGAAAGGTCTCCGTTGCAACCTGGTTTAGTGGCAATTTTCTAGTGCATCTATGATTTTATGTCTGCTTTTATGCTGTTTTTTTTTTTTTTTTTTTTTTTTAATAATTTTGGCTTTGCTTCATTCATTTACTGGATCTAGCTGTTTCAAGAAGCATTTAACCAAAAATGTGCAATACTTATTAATGTTTTGGCTGGCAAAGAGTTGGCAAATATTTCTTTTATGTTTGGCAATTCTTTTGATAATCTTCTAAAACATAAAACATTAAAAAAGGTGGGGGAGAAAAGAATATAGAAATTAACAAAATACAAATAAAATGAATAGGTATATAAATAAAATTTAAAAAAAATCTGCGATGTTTTCAGATTTTAAATTACTTCCAAAGGGGCATTTTTTTAAACATTTTGTGTGTTACCTTTATTTATTACATATCATGTTCTTCGCACTGAAAGCATAAAATTCAGTTCAAGAGCAATATTGCAAAATAAATTAAAAATGAGAATATCTTTAGAATTTTTTATACAGAGTCTCGCACACTCGTGATAAAAATGTTTTTTTTTTTTCCTGTACAATGTTGCTACTGCTTGCTTTGAAGTCCTTGAGTTTGCTCATCAAAAATTCAAAAAGTTTTATAAAATATGAAATCGATCATAAAAAAAATTTCAAATTTGGGCTTCCAGATGCCCATACTCACCACAGGAGGATTATATTATTCAAAACTGGATGGCTCTAGGTACCATCGTTTTATCACAATGCGAGAAACATTCCTACATTGATGCAGATTCTTCATTATTCAGTTTCTTTAAATATAATACAGGACAATAATATTGGGTGGCAACAATTTGAAAAGTGAAACAATGCTTGTAGTGAATCAACGCAAATGCCAAAATGAAATTAATAGTCCTTCTAGGCAAACTGCCCCTTTGACCTAAAAAAGTTTCTAATTCTTTGCCCATCAGTTCAGCAATAAAAATAGCACTTTTTTTAGTTAACCGCTCCTGACATTATCCAAAATATCATGTATGCAGTTACCGCGGTTGTGAAGTATATTGCAAGAAATTTGAAAAGAAAAGAACCCCAAATAAGCTCGCAGTATTCACAAGGAAAGATGAGGACTTACCACAATTTGCTCCTGTAACGGAAAAAGAAAAGAAAAAATTGACAGAATTGCAGTTCAGCGATAAAGTGAAGATAAGAATGAGCAATATTCCAAAAGAAATGAACGAAGCTATGCCATAGCTAAAAGATGAGAAAATTAGAGACTTTCTTGGCAACATTATTGAACATCTGGACAGCTTACGAAAAGCCAAATCAACAGCAAAGAAATTGTCAGCCAGTTTTAAGGCAGTAATGTATATGCTCAAATTCGCAGAAACAGAAAACTAATGATTGATTTCCCTGTGAAGCGATGGATACTTTATTTCATTTTCCAAAATTCCAAATTTTTCCACTTGCAAGTGTTCCTGTTTTCAAGATGCATCTCTCAGAGTCAGTACTTGGTGGGTGACCACCCACGTGACTGGCTTCTACGAATCCCCACTAGATAACTAGAGGAGCTACGAACTACAGCGAAGACTCTGATTGTTTAACCTCGAGGCTTTTGCTAGCGTAACCTTCTTTCTGCCTGTGGGCGCGGTGCTAATGCACCCTTGATTTAAATTAAAAATACAATGATCGGCCTTCGGTCTCACCTGAGGTTTAGGTACATACTCATCTGTAGTATACACCTTAATCGAAATTGATGATTCTGATTATCTAAAATTCAATAAAAAATGCAACAAAGCCAAAATCATCCACAAATCACAGTATGAAACAGCCTTAAAATCATAGAAGTGCTAGAAAGTGTAAAGGTGACCCCAGATTGTGTTATAAGAGACCTTTTTACAACCTACTATATATCCATATGTCGATTATGAGAAGTACAGCAGTCCTATAGAAAATAATAAAAGAGGGGAAACATGATCGAGCCATTTATTTCAAATCCAGCTGACAAATCAGAAAGGTCATAAATGAAAGCTGCTAGTTTTGGTACCCTCCTGTTACCAGGACCGGATTCAGAAATTTAGGTATGTATGTATGGATGAATGTATTCATGTATGCATGTATATATGTTTGTACATATGTATGTGTGTGTGTGTATACATCCATATACACATATACATTCTAATTAAAAGGCCTATGACTTTTTAATTTAACTATAAGTATTTTAGTAACAGCCTACTCTCTATGTATTATCTCCAAGAATTATTCCTGTTTTCTCGCCAATTTAGGCTAAACTTTCTTAAATAGAAAACTGCACTTTAATGACAACCCTTTTACTTCCTTCACTTAATACAATACAAAGTCTGTAATCCGGACATCCATAATCCAGAATGATCTATAAACCGGACTTCGAAGCTACAAACTTTATGCACATGCGTAAAAGCATGTGCATACTGTGTTTACGTACACACATTTAATGGATAATGGACGGTATAAGCTAGGCTAAAATTATCTAAGGCATTTCAGTTAATGTTGCAAAGTGTGCTGTTCCTTAATCTTCTTATTGGATCTGGCTTATTATTTTTTGAGACGTGTTAGAACAATTTTTAAAAATTAAGTTGAACGTTCGATTGTCAAATAAGTTTCCAATTCTGAGCGCCAAAGGATCTACAAAGTAAAGCAGTTTCGATGTCCATTAAACGCTTGCTGATTATCCAAGTTACTCGGGTTCGTATATATTGCAGTTAATTAT